CACCCTCAGCGTGAGGACACAGTGAGTGTGAGCCCTGAATGTACCTGGCTGGACAGTGCTGCCCCCTTAAAGATAGGCTCACGGCAGGGGTGCTGAGTCGGGAGCCTGCTCCTTGCCAGAAGGATCAGACAACTAGAAATGTAGTGACTTTGGACCAATAGGGTGGAGGGGGCAGCATCGTCACACAGCCTGCATTTAGGGTTGCAGCCATCCCTGCTCTTCACACCTGCCTCGCACCTGCCAGCGTGCCTCTCTTCAATGTTCCTTCTGTCCGTACCCAGCTCTGCTGACGCCGGTATTCACGTTAACAGAACTTTATGTGTTTGCACATTTTGGTCAGGAAGAGGTACGGGAGTTCTTCCTGGGTGCTGGTAGTCACCACGAATAAGTCTCCAACTCTGACTTTGCTAGGGAGTATGGCAGCCCTCCAGGGTGGGCTGAAGAGGTGAAAAAACATGACATTGGCCTCAGGGAAGAATCAGAGAGGGCAACGAAGCCCAGAGAAGTGACTTTTGTCACTTCTTTTTTTACTCTCCGGTCTTCTGTATGTCCTGGTTTTGTGGCATGCAGCTCCTTCCCGCCTCCAGCACTCCTGCCCTCACGGGCCTCTGGCACCGTCACACCTGCTGCCCCACACACTCCTTCCCTTCCCCCTGTGTGTTACTTTATCCTCATTAAAATATATGCATTGAGCTCACAGTATATTTAGATTCAAAAACTCCCCAAACTGAAAAGCTTGAGAGTAGTAACCTTTGGCTTTGGATAGCTAATAATTTGGAACTACATTTTGAATGATTTCGTGAAGAGAGTCTGTTAATACAACTGGCCACATTAGCCTGAAGCCAATGACTGATAAAAGCTCGTGTGTGGGTCTCCTGCTGGCTGTCAGAGGAGCTTCAGAAAGTTCGGACAGAGCATGGCCAGGAGCATTGCGTGGGTCCAAGTGCTCAGGGGTCGAAGGGCTAAACTTCTCTGCAGTTGTGGTTTAGACATGTGCGGACTTAGCTGATGGATTGAAGGTCCCAAAGGGCTGGCCTGGAGGGAGAGCCGCTGGGCCTTTGGCCAACACCAAGATGAAGGAAGATGTCTGGCAGTGTGGGAGGCGGCCGCAGCTTCTGGTGCAGAGGTGGTGGACCCAGACAGCCCGCCTCTGCTCTGTGTTCCACAAGTAACACTCAAAGGAAAGCATGTGTCACTGGGGAAAATACTCTTCCAACTAATGAGCAGAAAGGGCAGCTTCTGTGTGTGTGTATTGTCCAGAGGAGGTTGGGGACAGTCCAGCAGCTGCCCACAAGCAGTGGAGTGGCACTTATTGGCAGAACAGCCAGAATAGCAGATACCAGGGCAGCCATCTTCACCCATAAAAACAGCACCAGTGACACACATTATGAAAAGTCAATGTTTAATGCATGTACTGCACATACCTTTACAAATTAAATGATACTCACCTATGAGTAGCTATTATTAACTGATATCAGTGATTAGCACTTTTCTCATTGGCGTTTTCATGACTTTCTTTCTTCCTACTCAACTTTTCTCTACTTCTACTTATTTTTAAGTGGTTACATAGTTTGATTTTATGCAATTTAAAATGGATTTGGCCTTGTTTTTGTTTTTAATCAGAGAAATTGCTTCATAGGATGATATTAAAAAAATGTTAGATTAGGCCAGAAGTGGGCTGAACTTCAGCAAAGTTTTAAAACTAATTGTGTCTCAAAGTTGAATTTTTACCCACTAAAAAACTGGAGTCCTAATGTCATTCTGTGCTTTAGGCTGATTGTGAGAATAATAACACTTTGGAGGTTAAAATTTTATTGAAAGTAGTAATTTTAACAGTTTGAACTCATGTTCAAAAATGTAATTGGAATAATTTTCAATAGACATCAGTCTTTATTTCTTAGAAAATTACAGTGATTAAATTAACTACAGGCAGCTTCTCTTATTATTTGAAGATAATAGGAGGCTTTTGAGGATTAGTGGGGAAAATGAATGATACACGTTTTGTTAAAGACTTCACCGTTGAAACATTCCTTACTACTCTCTGTCAAGGCATAATCGTTAATGCAACTTTCTTTACTGTATTTGGCCTAAAAATGATTTGAATGAAGAGTGAGAATAATGCTCTTCCTAGGATTAAAGTGTAGATTTTTTAAAATGGGGGTACATAGCTGGGTGCTGTGGCTCATGCCTGTAGTCCAAGTTATTCAAGCAGCTGAGGTAGGACGATTCCTTGAGCCCAGAAGATCCAGGCTACAGTGAGCCGTGATGGTGCCACTACACTCCAGCCTGGGTGACAGAGCAGGATCCTGTCTCTAAAACACATTAAAAAAATAAAGTGTGGGGAAACCTCTTTACAACATCAGCCTTGGGAAAGAATTTATGAAGAGGACACCACGGGCAATTGCGGCAATGACGAAAATTAATAAATTGAACCTGATCAAGTTAAAAAGCTTCTGCATAGCTAAGAGCACACTCCACAAAGCAAATAGACACCTTCAGAGAAGGTGTCTATTTCTTCATGAGAAGAATAGACCTTCAGAGAAGGTGTTCTATATATTCATGAGAATATATCCTCATGTTACAAAACTGACAAGAGAATCTACCAAGAGCGCAAGCAAATCAACAAGGAAAGACCAAACCCTCCCTGAACCCTTTCTGATCCTTGTGTTGGACCTCGTTGGCCGTAATGATTCTCCAGTTCCACTTTGTTGTCGGGAGACGTCCAATAAGCCTTTTGTCATTTCTTTTGTCCTCAGGCTCTGCTGTCAGAGCCTGTCTGATGTGTTTGCTCAAGTAGTACAGACTCTAGCCAACAGATAGTGTAGGCTGTACTCTTTCTGTTTCGTGGCAGGCCATGTGTTTTGATGTGAACAGGTGACCATGCTTGTAGGACAAAGGCCCACCCAAAATAAATTAGAGCTGGGAAGTATACGGGTGGCAGAAAAAGTGGATTGGAAAGGATTAGTCATTGGTTAAGAGATATGAACAGAATCTTTTCCCAAGAGAATAGGTGAATGGCCAACAAACACATGAAAAAATGCTCATCAGCCCTAATCATCAGAGAAATGCAAATCAAAAGCACTTTGAAGTGTCCCCTAACCCTGGTGAGAATAGCCCACTTCAAAAAGCTGCAGATGCTGGTGTGGGTTCTGAGAAAGGGGAACACTAATGCACTGTTAGTGGGATTGCAAACTAATACAGGCCTTTTGGAAAGAACTATGGAGAATCCGAAAAGTAGACCTTATATTTGATCCTGCAATCCCACTACTAGATATCTACCCAGAGGAAAAAAATTATTTTATCATAAGGACATTTGCACTTGAATGTTTATGAAAAGCAGCTCAATTCATTATTGCAAAGATGTGAAACAATCCAAGTGCCCATCAACACATGAATAGATCAATAAACTGCAGCATGTGTATACCAGGGAGTACTATGCAGCTGTAAAGAAGAGGGAGACTTAGTATCTTTTGTATTTACCTGGACGGAGTTGAAGACCATTCTCCTAAGTAAGGCATCTCAAGAATGGAAAAGCAGGCATTCCATGTACTCAATACTATGTTGAAACTAGTCGATTCACAACTATAGGCCTATGTAAAAGAAACACATAATTAAATTCAAGAAGGAAATGGGGAGTCTGGGGGGATGGAATTTGGTAAGTTCCCATGTGACAGGTACAATGAAAGAGAGCAATGTTATACTAGAAGAACTCTGTGAAAGTTGATAAGAGTTCAGTTCCTTCTTTGGTTATTATTCAGGATTCTGTCCCTGCTTCTTTATGGCATTGAGCACTGGACAAGGACAATTATATGACAGTCATTATTCAGACTGAGAGTCTGAAAAAGAGTTTTAAATTACTCTTTTACTTTGAAATGAGATATTCAAATCACTGAGCGTTAGGGAAATTGTGCATGGATGAGGAATTAAGTGGCTCTTGATCTGTCTTCTCAGCTTGAGGTTTTGTAAAGTGGTTTTTGTCAGTGGAAAATAGCACCCTATTTTCTTCAAGGTCTTTCCAAACTGGAGGTGATTTAGCTGGCTTACCTCAGTCTACTAGCACCTAGATAAGCATCTGCAGTCAGTCTTTCCTGGACTTGAGTGGTGTTGCTTTTTAAATGTCAGTGTTACCCCCTCAGGACCTATGCCTTATAGGGTGCAGAAACATATTTGTTACTCTTTCTGGCTGGAATGTCTACTTTCAGATTCATGGTATTGTTTGTGACTCAAGTTACATATACTGATTCCCAAACTTTTCTTAACTTGTCCCTAAACTAAACAACCCTAGGATTCTGAGGCCCAAAGTCAAGAAGAAAATCAGAAAAATTACTTAATTTAGTGTGCTAAGAAGTTATTGAAACATGCTGATTACATGAAATGATGTTTTCACTGCTTTGAAAAGTAGAAGGAAATGATATAAAATCTTATTCTGGGCAGAAAGAAAGATCTGGTGCATTATTAGTTTAGCTGCACCAACACAAATGCAAAAACGCCAAGAAAAGCCAATTACTTGGCATTCAATACAGCTAACACTCATTCACTTTAACATTATTACTCACTTTTAAATGAATAGCCATTTACTTTTATTATACATTGTTACTGGTTTAGCTATTATAATTTGAAATTATGGTAGTTGGAAATATTTCAATAAAGCATAATATCCCCACTACCTTATAATTTAACACAACACAGTAAGAATGGTAAGGTGCAGAGTTTGGACAATGAGGATTGTAGGTTGCAGAAGAGAGGGATTTATTTGACATGAAAATCCAGGGTTTGACATGAAAATCTAGCATGATTTTACAGTATTTCTATACTTACATTTTGGCCACAAAAGTAGTCTTACTGGTTATATGAACTTGGGTAGATTTCTATTCAGAAGAGAAAAGTTAACAACAAAAAATACTCACTTCATAGGATTATAATACAAATTGGGTAAATTAATCCATATCAAAAGCATTTTGTAAATTGCTAACCATGACACTCAACTTACTTTATTGCAGGCAACCACCAACTGTTATTAAATGATTGAAAGAAAATATTAACCCAACCCATTATGTGCTTTTTCTAATGTGGAAAAAGAAGAAGAGAATTCCAACCAGTGAGTACATCTGACAAAAGTGTTTAACCTGAGTCGAGCTGTGAGCGACCGATTCCAAATTGAGGGACATTATGCAAAGCGACTGGCCTGGATGCTACAAAAATGTCCCTTGTGGAAGACAAAAGGAGACTATGGACATAGCAGTACCGGCCACAGTGATCCTTGAGTGGGTCCTGGACTTAAAATCTTCCACACAGAAAGGGTGTTACTGAGACACCTGGGACATTTGGACTATATATTAGATAATTGTATTGAATCAACTTAAGCTTTCCTGAGTGTGATCATTATTATATAACCACAGTAGGATAATTGCTCTTGGGAGGTACAAGCTGATATATTTAGGGGTAAACCATCGTTATGTCTATGAGTAATTCTCAAATGTTTGAGCAAATTCTTTACATGTGCAGACAGCAAATGAGGCAGAATGCTAATAATGTGGGAATCAAAGTGTTCATTGTTCATGATTTCTCTAACTTTTCCATAGTTTGGGACATTTTGAAAATAAAAAGTTGGAGGAAAATTTTAAAAAGTTAAAAATCCAAATACTCAAATTAGTTATTAAAAACCAGACCTTAGGCTCGGCGCCTATAGCTCAACCGGCTAAGGCGCCAGCCACGTACACCTAAGGTGGCGGGTTCGAATCCCCAGCCCGGACACGCCAAACAACAATAATGGCTGCAACCAAAAAATAGCCGGG